TATTCGGTTGTTCGAGAATATTATGATCGACCACCGTTATTTATTCCATTTAGTACTATATTTGATATTATAGCTTTAATGAAAATGTTTTATCAATGGTATCTTCGAGTGCGTTACAATTACGCTAATCCATCAGAACGAGTGTTTAGTACGTATTTTCTTTTTTCATAGAAGATATCGTAAATTTTATTGTTTTGTTTTTTTATTATTTTAGAAGTAATTGCTGTTCAACCAGAACTTGAACTTGCTTGGCAAGAATTTGAAGGTGCATCAACTTATGCTTATGCTCAACGTGAAGCATTGGCCAAAATCAAAAGGTCAACAGAAATGAAAGTCAAAGTTTTTTTTTCTATGATACTCTTTTTGTTTTTTAGAATAACTACGGAGAATGAAACGTCTTTACAAGAATCTAGTACAAGTGGAATAAGATCTATTGACGATATTGAATTATCTGGTAATAGTAGTATTACTAAAAAAGAGAAAGATGCAATTATTCAGTTACGCAATGAATTCAAAGCAGCAATTAAAGATCTTCGAAATGATGTAAGTAGAGAAAGAATGATTGTCAATCTATTGTGAAAAATTGTTTTTTATGAATATTTAGATACGTCTCATCACAAAACAGAAGTGATTTAGTTACCATACAACTGACTTCTTTCGTTTTTTTTTTGAAGAAAATTAAATGAATACGGAATAAAAAACTATATAGCTCAGATTTTTCTAGAATTATACATTGGACTATTGTCAAAAATAATGATGAATGCTATAAAGAGAAGCACAAATAAAATCGACACATTTCATATTGAAAATTTTATATTTTCTATTTACTGTCTTTTATTCTAATAATTATTAGATATAATCAAAGCTGAAGTATCTAATTAGTACAATAGACATGGTACTCTCTAAATCTAAAGTTTTTTGTTGTCATTTTTTTTATTATTCTCAATCCATGATACAGGAACAATGGCAACAGAAATTCGATCTGCAAATGTCTCTTCACCATTTTCAAAAACTAAGGCAACATTCTTTCCATCACTGACGACTGCTATATCAGAGTAGCCACTAAGTCCAGAGTATAATATGCGAGAAATTGACCATGAATGAGCTTCATCATACGAAAGTCGAAGAGTTAAATTAGAACGTACTGTCGCATTGGCTGGACCACTGAAAAGAATACGACTGGGATTTATGGATATTCGTTCAATCGAACAAACTACTCCAGTCCATGCTTTGGTAACAGGTTCTATTAACGATGAGTCAATTCCAAATTCAGTAAACTGGTCAGCACCATTTGTAGAACGTGCAAAGTAACGATGTCCTGGAACAGGAGAAAAGTTTCGACCATTCAAATAAATATGTGAAGTGCCCGCATCCATATTGATCGTTTGTACGAGTTGTGATTCACGCGTATACTGCTGTGCTATTCCTGTAAAATTCCATTGTCGATTCTGATTTTTCTCAGGCATTTCGCTTTTTAAAACACATGCATAACAACTAGGACATGAACCATTATCACCTGTATGGCTTGATCCATTAGTACACACAAATGGCACCTACAAAAGCAGTAAATTATAAGTGAAAAGAGTGAATATTTTTTGTATTCGCTGTACCAACAACGTTCCAGCGTCAGAACAATTCTCTCGTCTACATAATGAGCCGATGATCTAGAATATAAATCATTAATCAATATATCAATCATCAAAATGTCATACCTCAATTCCGTGACCAACAGCAGATTTGATTGATTTACTAAAAGGTGGAGGAGGAAACACATTTAAAGGCGTTGGATCTGACCATGTTATTCCCTATAGGAGAATAAATGAATCACAAAATTATTGTATTATTTGTCAAAAAAAGTACTTCATCGTGTGAAATAAACAGAAGAACTGATGAAGATGCCTGTAACATCAAGTAAACTGTGTTAGATGTACTGTCCCAAACTACAGTGTAGAAATCGATGTTTCCTGTATACACTGTTTGTGCAGAAAGCCAAGTAGATCCGCTATCTTCCGAACGACGCATCTCTAAACCACCATCTTCATTGGGAAGATTGTCTCTCTCGACTCTATTTTCCAAAGGTGGTGCACAACTAGTGACAAATCGACCTTCGGCAAATACCATCAAATGTGTTCGCTCTTGATTAGTAGTCACAATGGCTGGCTATTGGATTATTTGTATTCGAAAAGTATAGTCAATATTACATAGTACTTACTTGACGATAACATGGATATTTACCATCATGTGGCTTGAAGACTGTGTAAAACTGTGAATCTATTGCTCTGGTAACGAAGATTAGCATAGATATCAAAACAATTAGTATCTGCATTTCTCTTAAGAACATAATCAACACGTTTTACATGTATGTGTATATAATCAAATTTCACCTCACTTTAGTTTCATTCTGCTCTTTGAAAGGCTAAATAACTATACCTTCCGAACTTATTTTCATTTTATCAACGTGCACTGAAGTCCTCACCTGAATACAAAACAAAGACAAACTCAATTTACATTGAGAGAGAAAGCAAAAGAAGTAAACACCATTGAGTGACATCAAAAAGGGGCGGTAGATGCGTTGTGAATTTCTATTAACAAACAAGATTGAAAAATAAATCATTAAGATGTATGAATGAACAAAACCAACCATGACTAGAAAATAGAAATTCTAGAAAGCATGGTGTATCATACGTTGGGTAAGAACTATTGATCAATGAACAGAACGATGTACATAAAGAGAAATTCGAAAGTTCTGTTTATATGTCAACAGTAAATGCGTGTTTAATAAGTAATGTGATTAATTATAGAACTGTCTTCCTAGCATAAAACGTACGATAGAATTTTGTCTTTACAATGATTTATTTTAATGCTTGTTTTATTATTTTCATGAATATAGCACTGAATGTTAATAATCTATTATTAAGTTCATGATCAACACGTACAGATTATATAATAAGTAAGTAATGCGAATGTTTAGAAATAATCAATTAGAAACGCTCGACATTTTTTTTAAAGCTTAAAGTATGGTCTCTTTGCGCCAGAATTCACTCAACACATTATACTTATGTTAAACATTCATATCTCAGAAACAGTTATTAAATACTTTCGATTGCACTTTACAAATCTAGATTAATTTTTATTTATGTAATAGCAGTCTGCATTGATCTGCTCGAATGTACGATGATTT